CCTGTCTGCACTTCTTCTACAGCAAATTCGCAGGCAGCAGCTTCTCCCCCCTCGCTCACATGCGTAAGTGCTGTGCTCAGTCGCCTGAGCTCGGATCATACCAAAATTAGGGGGAATTTACGACTGTGCGCTATGTGCTTCGAATATTGTGTGTAGTTTTTGTTTTATACAGTTGTCAGTCAGGCATCTAACTATGAAACAAATTACACTCCAAAAGACCCTGGGCTTCTGAAACAACAACCCGGGCTTAAGCCCAGTAAGCCACCCCCCCGCTCCGCCAATGATGCTAATAACTTTGTTGTGAAAATTAAATTGATTATCACAGCATTGGTGGTCAGAATGAAATACTAGGAACTGAATACTAGTTTGGTTGTAATTGCTGTTCTACTGTCAATTGGTATAATAATGAAACATGAAAACTAAGAGGCCACAGACTTGGGTGGGAATCAAATAAACAGCAACCATTAACCTTTTGTTATATAATTCACAATATTTTGGGGGGTGGGATGGCAAATGACAGGATGCCATTCTGCAGTTTCATTAACCCCATGCATCTCCTTTTATTGCTACTATATCATTTTAACTCTGCTACCTACTATTCCAGCTCTCCTTCTGCCATCTTGTCCCTCTCCAACTGACATCTGCACTGAAAACTTTAATCTGCTCTTTTCATTTATCTGTCCATACCACTTTCAATTTGTGCTATGTAAATCTGTATTAGAATTATCATAATAGTTTAAAAATAATGTAATTACTGTGTCAATAATTTAATCTGTTGTATTACTGTATCACTGAATGAGTCAGATAACAAGAAGACAGGGATTGAATTTTAATTCTTTCAGTTACTGAGGTTATATAATAGATTGTTTACCACTCATGAGGCATGTCTTTGTAGTTGTTAGGGATCTCCACCAGCAAGTGGTTTGTTTTGACACCCTGTTCTGCAAGATGGCATCCATTTAACATAGCACAGCCATGGGGGCCTACTGGGAGGTGTTTGTGATGTTCATGCATGACATGACCTTTTCTTCTTCTGTTGCTGTCATTTTGTTTGGTTATTACAGCAATGATGTAATACAGTCATTTGATTGTTATTGAATTATTTTTACTGCCCTGCTATCCTTGTGGTTAGCAAGTTTTGCAACTTTTGATGCAGGGTTGCAAAATAAATAAAATTATTTTTTTAAGAATACTAATGATAAAAATTAAACAGTAATGGTAGTAAACAGGATGTTTTATATGGTTTCAGTTGCAATAATAAAAATTGCAAATGTGGAAAGGTACAGTAAATGAATTTAGTTTTATATATTTACATTGGAATACAGTACATGGTCTCCATTAGTAATTCTTACTAAGAGGAGTACTAATTACATTATATTACTAATACGTAATGGGGGCTGATTTTACAGACTGAAAAGGATAGATTTGCTCACCAATTCAGTCCTTATGCAGTCCTGGCCGAAATTATTGGCACCCCTGGAATTTTTCCAGAAAACGCACCATTTCTCCCAGAAAATTGCTCCAATTACAAGTATTTTTGTATACACGTTTACTTCCTTTATGTGCATTGGAACGACGCAAAAAAAAACGGGAAAACATAATTAATACACAAATAATTTTACACAAAACTCAAAAACTGGGCCAGACAAAATTATTGGCACCCTCAACTTAATATTTAGTTGCACGCCCTTTGGAAAGAATAACTGAAATCATTTGCTTCCTATAACCATCAACAAGCTTGTTACACGTCTCAACTGGAACTTTCGACGACTCTTCTTTTGCAAACTGCTCAAGGTCTCTCAGATTTGAAGGGTGCCTTCTCCCAACAGCAATTTTGAGATCTCTCCATAAGTGTTCAATCGGATTTAGATCTGGACTCATTGTTGGCCACTTCAGAACTCTCCAGCACTTTGTCTTCAACCATTTCTGGGTGCTTTTAGAGGTATGTTTGGGGTTTTTGTCCTGCTGTAACACCCATGACCTCTGACGCAGACCCAGCTTTCTGACACTGGGCCCTACATTGCGCCCCAAAATCTTTTGGTAGTCTTCAGATTTCATGATGCCTTGCACACAGTCAAGGCATCCAGTGCCAGAGGTAGCAAAACATCCCCAAAACATCTTAGAACCTCCACCATGTTTGACTGTAGGTACTGTGGTCTTTTCTTTGTAGACCTCATTCCGCTTTCTGTAAACAGTAGAATGATGAGCTTTACCAAAAAGCTCTACCTTGATCTCATCTGTCCACAAGACGTATGTTGTGAACTTCTTGATTATGTTGCACATAGTGGACAAAGGAACATGACGATCTCTGGAGATGGACTTGTAGTCTTGAGATTGTTGATGTATTTTTCCAGAATTTTTGTTCTCAAGTCTTCAGACAATTCTCTGCTCTTCTTTCTGTTGTCCATGCTTAGTGTGGCACACACACAACAGAAAGGTTGAGTCAACTTTTCTCCATTTTAACTGGCTTCATGTGTGATTGCTATATTGCCAGCACCTGTTTCTTGCCAGAGGTGAGTTCAAACGAGCATCATATACTTGAAATAAAACGATTTACCCGCAATTTTGAAAAGGTGCCAATAATTTTGTCCAGCCCATTTTGAGTTTTATGTGAAATGATGTCAAATTTGGCTTTTTTCTGTTTTTTTGTGTTGTAAATATTCACATTTAACTATTCCATTAGAAATAAATATATGTTTCCATGAGATTACAATACAGCTGGTTAATTGTAAATTATTTGTTACTTACAGTTGTCAATGTGGTTCATGTATAGAATAAATACAGATGTTTATGTTTTAGACGTGAGACATCTTGTCCAGGGTGTACTCCAACCCTATGCTGCTTGCTTAAATTGTCACAAATTCACTTTTATTACCTGTATTTGATGAATCATTCCTGCTGTCTGTGTGTTGTGCTTATTGGGTTTCTCTGACAGTACAAAAACCACATTTAAGAAAATTGCTTTTAATGTGTTTGTGTTTATGAGCGTATGTGTACCCTGCAGAGGAGTGGCATCTTGACTAAGGTGCACTCCAGCCTCAAGTGTCAAGAGCAGCATGGTTGGTGTGGTGATTTGGTGGAAACAAGTCAATTGTGTTTAATCTCGATTAAAAAAAAGAATATCTGTGAATAGTGTGCTTCAAGCTCTGATTTGGATTTCTTCTCTGCTAGTAAGGTAGGACTCTGTCTTTGTTTACTTTCTGTCTTGGACTCACTTGAAACTGTTGTAGTGTCTGCTAGTTTCTGTTAATCAGTAGTTTCAGGTAGCCAATCAAGTGTAGTTTCGGTCTCGCTGAAGGTGTAAATTAGGG